ACATTTCGGTCTCTCTTCTTCTCCAAGATTCAAAATCCCGCCTCCACAAACCTCCCATCGGTGAAATTGCTTCCCGGAGCCATAACTCTCTCTCCGCTGGTCGGAATTCGATGGTTTAACTACCGTTGGAATCCTCTCGTCGAGCTCTTTCTTTTGGTTGTGATTTCATTCAGTTTGGAGAACATATCTGTTTCTGCAATTTTTTTTCATTCGACAACGGTGGTCTTGCCGGAGGAGTTCTTTGTGTTCCATCAGTCGAAATTCGACGGGCTACCCACCGTTGGATTCCTCTCGTCGAGCTCTATCTTTTGATGGTAATTTTGTTTATTTTTATGTTTACAGATTTATTTCTATAATTTTCTGCATTTGTGGGTGCGCGAAACTGTGGGTGGTTAGTAGCGGCGCTTAGGGTTTTGGTAGGAGGCGAGGGGGGTGAGGATTCACTGTATGTTTGATATAAAATTTGTAGCATTTCCCAACAATAACCTCTCTCTCTATCTCTCGATCTCGTAGTGTTTGTTGATTTTTGAGCGTTTTGATGTTTCATCAAATTTTGTTGATTTGCAACTAAGTAATTTTTTTTGTTTTGATTTTGCAATTGCAGCTTATGAAAGCCATTGATCATCTCCTTGAAGGTGTCAAAAAATTGGTTGAAGTCACATGTGAAGCAGTGTTTGACAAACTGTATACATTACTATACATCACTATAGTAACATGTAGTTACATATGCGTATATTTATGTATTTTCGATTTGTATTTTATTGGTTATGATGTGATTTATAATAAAAATATTTAAATTTGTAAATTTGTGTTGGGGTTTTATGAATTTATTTTGTATAAGTCAGTATTCGTGTATACAATTGATCGACTAAAAATATGGGGAAAAAACGAACATAACTATGAATTACTATAGGTACTATAGTTACATGTAGTTATTTTCAGTACTGTAAACATATTGTTTTGAAAATTAAAAAAAAAATTAAAAAAATTAAAAAAAAAAAAAAATAAATAATTAAAAAAAATATTTTTTTTTTAATTAAAAAAAATAAAAAAATAAAAAAATATAAATATATATATATATATATATATATATATATATATATTTAACAAGCAGATTTATAAAAAAAAAAGGAAAATAATAATAAATAAATCAGCGAAAATGATAAATGCAGGACCATAAATGCTGAATGCAGTTTGGCCGAAAATTGCACATAAGGGTAATATAGTATTTTCGCTTCCCCAGGGGGTATGTCAAAGAATGATTTGGGCTTGGATTTATCCCTAGTTTATTTGGTGGCTAGGGGTATGTAAAATAACCCCTAATTTAATATATGTGATTAAATCGTGTAATCAGATGGGCCTAAATATAATTCAGAATTCAGAAGAAAGTATAATATATATACTTTGAAGCCCAGAACAAATGTATAAATCAAAAGAAGATTAGCAGACAAGCAACAATAATTATTTATTTAATTTATCACGCCGCCGCCACTTTCCGCCCTCCGCCGTGAGTGATGGATTCCGATTTGAACACCGTCGCGACTCTGACGAAAAATAAGGTAGAAAGCAACTCAGAGGTACCTTCTTATACACATCTTTTTTTTTTTCTTTAGAATTCATTTAATTATAATAAAAATGCAAAAAAGAAAAAAAAAATATGAAATACGTTTTTATTATTAATAGGGTAAATTACAAACACCCATGAGGTATGGTCAATTTACGAAAAAACCTCTCTTGTTTGGGTAATTACATCTACCCATCAACTATGATTTTTTCTTACACCTCCACCCTTATGGTGTTAAATTCAACATAATCATCTAGATTCTGTGAAATGTGCTGTAGTTTGTACTCGTTTTGTGTAAAATTACAGTTTTTGATGCACCACAATCTGATATATACAAGCCAAAAAACACATATTATGATCATCTTGCTTCAAAATGTAGAGTTCGAATGAGATAAAAGAGGTACAAAAGTGATAATATTGCATAAAATCTCGAAGATTCCACTAAATTTGGTGAGTTGAGAGAGTGATTGTAATTATCCAAACAAAAGGGGGTTTTCGTAATTTGACCATACCTCAGGAGTGGTTGTAATTTACCCTTATTAATATTACAGTGGAATAATATACAAACTATCATTAAATTTAGAACAATTCTTTAAACTTTGAGAAGTAGAAATAAGGGCGAAATTGTAAGTTATGAAATTATCTATTTACACTTTAAGAGAAATAAAAAACAATTGGGACTAGATTGCAAATTTTGAAAATTTAAAAAATGGGCGCGACACGGCTGTTATCCCGGTGCTCCAACGCTTCACAATGCAAAAATCGGTTTGGTTAGGGATTCCGGAACGGGACGAACCATATTTTTGGCGCGTCACAGTAAATTTTGCTAAAGCGTCGAATTTTCTAGTGCCATATTTTTGAATTAGATAAATAGTTCGATTATTTCACGTGCAGATGGGTAGGGGCAAATTGAATTGTGGAAACTTAACGAATATCGAGTCACTTCCAGACGAATTGGTGTTCGATATTCTTGTACATCTCCCGGCCGAACATATTTACAACGGGCCGATGTTTGTTTGTCGGAAATGGTACGATATGGTTCGTACTAGTGGATTCATATCCGCGCACCTTCACAAGTCAACTCCCCATCTCGTCATCCATAGTACTAACACCTGCAGGCGACCGTATTTCGTGGAGATGAACAGAGGCCGGATCGACATCACCCGATTGAATTGCGTAACCAAAACAGTAGTTTGGACTAGTTGTAATGGTTTGATGTTGGAGTCCGATTTCTTCGAGAACAGAGGCGATCTTTACGTTACAAATCCCGCAACGAACCAACACTTTGCTCTCCCTCGATTTCCGTGCGAAGAGGGATTCCGATGCTGCGCTTGTATGTCGTATGCCGAGGCTTCCAAGCAGTATAAAGTGGTTATCATGTATTGCAAACGGTTTCACTGTTCGGTCATACTAAAGAGTGCGATATTGACCGTCGGGGTCGATAAGTCTTGGAGGGAACTTCGTATCAAAGACACGTACGGACCGTATCATACGACCACTACCCGCGGTTTTATTCATTGGCAGCAGAACTATCCAATAGGCACTCATGTCTTGAGTTTAAACGTAGAGACCGAAACTTTTAGAGAGACGCGAATTACCACCGACGGGGGCCGTCGTCTTGAAAAAGAATCGGACAAGTATTACGCATCGACGGGGGACGCACTAACGATATTCGTCGCACGAAGCGAATTTTCATGGGAGGTTATGAGGATGGAATCGGAAACAGGAGAACTGAGAAAGGTTGTCAAGATTGACATGGAAGCTCGATTGTCGAAAATTGAAGATTTCTTGCCGAAACCGGTTGGGTACGTGTACCAAGGTGGACCCCGTGTTGGACCGGTTGGTTGGATAAATTACCCGGAGGTGTTGGTGTTGTGGGTTTATTCATATGGGGTTTGCATTTACTACAATGTCCGTACACAAGAAATCAGTTACTTTACGTTAGAGTATCCTTATCGTTATCACCGCTTTCTTTTTCATATAAATAGCTTAGTATGGTTAGATGGATGCTCTGCTGCTAGTTGAGTTCCTTCTTTTTTGGCCCGAGCTCGTTTTGTTGTTTTTCTTTATTTTTTAATTATTATTTTTTAATTATTATTAAAAATTATTTCTAATGTTATATTATCAGATTTAAATTTAAGGTTAGATGGGAGTTTTTACAACTTTTATTTACTTATTTTCACTTTTTAAGGGGCTACACGTGTCATTTCATCTCTTTTGCTACACTTGCTGATAGGGGTGTAAATGAGCGGAGCCAGCTCGCGTTTTATGACATGTTTAGTTGTTTGTGAGTTCGCGAGCCGGCTCATTTTTTTTAAATGGCATATTACGGGCACCCTTGAGGTATGACCAAATTACGAAAAAAACCCTATTTCCCACTAGGCCCATTGTATGGTGATGCAGTAACTTTATATACTGAACACTCGCAATCGGCCCATATCAGGCATCAAGATCCGAACCCGTTTATAACCTACCCAGGTCCAATGGGCCGTAAACCAACTCATACTATTTTTATTTATTCATCTGTATATTACTTTTAATGAGGTAACATTTTAAACATAATAAAATTATTCATGCACCCAAAAATAATTTAGAATTAAGAGCAGAAAAAAAAGAAAAAAGAAAAAAAGACAAGGGTGAATTACAAAAATCACCCTGAACGTAGGCTAAATTATGAAAAACACCCCCACCTATTAATAATTACTAACCCCCACCCCTCGACATTTGTTTTTGTCTTACACCGACCCCCTTTTAAGGTGTGATTTTTCACAAAATCTTTTTGCTTCGAGAGAATAGTACACATTAGGGGGGTCGGTGTAACACATAAGCAAACATCGCAAAAATTTTGGTAATTACTGATAGGTGGGGGAGTTTTTTGTTATTTAGCCTAAGTTCAGGGAGGTTTCGTAATTTACCAAAAAAAAAAAAACAAAGAAGAAGATGGGAACACGAGATACAACATAGTTGTACTTTCTCAAAAAGCCTTTGAAAAATATTTGTACTGAAAATATACTCTGACAAGCAATTGCAGTACAAATGTACAATCCAATTTAAAAGAAAAACAATAACAGTACTAAGTTGTACTCACCAAGGCAACACTTGTACGTATCATTACAATTAGATACATGATGTAGATTCTTTATAAAACCTGCACTTTCTATCACATATAATCATCATCATAAGTTTTTGAAGTTCAGATCAAAGTAATATATGAGAGATTGTAAGAAAAATCGATACTTAGTGGCGATATCCAACCGGGTCAACATGAGAACATATAATGGGAAACGAAAATAAATCCGTTTACATGTTCTCAGGTCGCCCCTGTAGGATTCTCCTCCACTGTTATACATGCGTCGTACAATTATTGTACGATAGCAAGATTTACGAGAGCAGAATTCATCAGTACAGCAGAATAAAAAAAAAAAAAAAAAATCTAGGTGAGTAAAATAAATTCCTTTTCCCTTTTCAAATAATTTTAACAGCTTAAGGTGTACGGTGTGTTACAGGACAACAAAAAACACAGGCACCAACGATGAATTTCGAGATGATAAATATATGCTCGGCGCATTTCTGTTTATTCAGTTGGAATTATAAAAAGATGAGTAGTCAAAAATTGTTAAACTAATACCCGAATAGCTGATGCAATGGCAGAAAGCTCTTCCTCTCCAACTTTCTTCCACACCCCATCGATGACCAGACAGCCTTTCGTACCTTCTTCTTCGCTGACATCATCCTGATCCTGCATGACACAATCTTCTGCCACAATCTCCAATCTTTTAACGCGCGTGTCATCCATTTCTGCAGTGCAAATCTCAGCTTCTCTTTTACCAAGATTATTCACCACACAATCTCCTTTGTTGTCCGATGATGTCACTACTTCTTCGCATACATCATCAATAAGGCCCACGGACGAAAACCGGCCCGAAAAGCCAACGGAGTGAGGTAGCATGCCCATGGGACATGAATTCCATGATTTTATCACACTCCATCTGCTTTCAGATAGATTTGGTTTTTCGTTTTTCTTCTGCATTCGATGCTGTCTCATCATTAACTCGAACTTCTCTTCAGCTTTACGAATGGAGTATTCTTGCTCGGAAAAAAGGGTCTCGGTACAAGAAATTTCCGTGTTTGCTTCTGAAATTGATAGCTGCTCTAAAATAGCAAACTTCTTGAGTTTTTGGAGTAGAGTGGCGTCACCAGACAGCTGTGCAAGAGTAACGGCCGAGCTCATTAATCGGTTCTTACCAGGATAGGATAACAAAAGACATCTACGTACTAAACCAAGTACAGTTTCCTTCGGCAGATATTTCTCCGTCTTGGAACTTTTGATTTCTGCAGATTCTTTCTTTTTACTAACAGGATACGACGTCTTCAGATTTTGGACAAGCCATTCAAATAAACATGGAAGTAGTTCGTTTCGATGAGGTTTGGTGGAATTATCAGGAGATTGATGGTCATCTGGTAAATATTAAAATACGATTAAGTTTACTACAAACAACCCCAAAAAAAATATCAAGATTGAAATGTATGTTACCTATTTCATTATTAATGGTATTACTAGTCTCCATCTTCTCGAGAACTGCCTGTGTGAGTAATAAAAGTAATTCTGGCTCTTTGCGTGACAATTTCAAAACGACGGATTTCCAGTCATCAAATGCAGTTTGCTTATTATCACTGTCATGAACAATTTGTGAATCGACCGAGTTCTCTAAAGCGTTTAGCAAGTATTCGAGCAGAAGATAGATTACTTCGGTAGAAAACGAAGAATACAATCGGAGGGTACTCTTCATTGATTTGGAGAGATGCTTCTTTGAACTTGCGGAGTTGGAATGTGATGCCTTCCCAGCTACAAGAGATAGAAGCTTATTACGCCCAAATAAGTGTTCTGTTTGTCTAACACCTACAAGAGGTGGACGTAAAGAAAGAACAAATTATAGTTAACATAGAATATATTTGGAAAATAATAGGATAGTATTAACAAACTTACGTTTTGCATTGACATGTGAAGAACTCGCTGTCTGTTTCGCTTTAAGACAGAGAGAAACTTCGCGTAATCTGCGCTTGATTTCTTTCCTGAGATTGGAAGTTTGGTTCGTTTGAATAGGAATTTCCTTTTCTTGAGGTTCCCAATAATATGATATCAACCAATCAATTGCCTGCACCATTAGCAACAGATTCCGACATTGTTGATTAATTATATTCTTCAACAGCTTCTTCGAAGATATAACAAAACCATAAAACCAATAAACGAGATACTAGAGGAAAGTTTACATTATCGAGTGAAACAGAAAAGAAGCTGTCGTTGTTACTTAGTAACATAACCACTCACGAATTTCTGATAAAGCCAAAAGCAACTTTTAACCAATATAACCTGACTATTGGACGATAAGTACACGGGTTTGAATATCAAAAAAATAAAAAAAGTACACCACCTTATAATTGGAAGTGAACGAAAGCAACTTCATGACATAATGTTGATACAGTCAATATTATTTATTAGAATGGAACATTTACCTTTTGTGATGCAAGACGGACCACGATAAGTGAAGGAGGATCACGATGAGAACCCTCTACAAGTATTCAAACAGAAAATATAAAAATCAAATGTCAAAAATAAACTTAGGTACTCAAGATCTAGAGAATTTATGTAATATATTCGGATATATTTACCATGACGAATATCGATAAGCATTCTCGGAATGCCAATGGCATCAGCTGCTTCCCCGATTGAAACTTCATTCTTTTTTCGGGTCTTCTCAAGAACACCATTAACAAGCCTTCAGAAAACAAAAAACGAAAAACTGGAATTAAGGAAAAACATCTAACCATATTTACATAAACCAAACAAATTAAACATTAGAAGAAGTTCAAAAGAATGCTCACCTAATGATTGCCATGGTGTATAGCATTGCCAGCATTTCCTCCGACAGACAAGCCCTTTCATCCAAGTCATTTCTACCAATAACATAAGAAAATGAAACTAAGCACATATAAAACCAAACGTGTATACATTGTCGGACTAATAGATTGCTTATACAAATAAAATCACTTATCTGCGGAGTTTCAAATACAATAAAGAACCAGAAGGAATATACTAGCTAAAACGGAAAAAAATTAACTGATCAACTCAAAGTAAGACGACTTTTTGCTGAATAAAAGATGAAAAAACAGTTTTGCATAATAACTGAAGCTACATAATCAAAGTGTCCACCACAAGAATCGTTACCAGAAATTCAATAAGGCATAAAAGGGTCTTCCTATACATCAACACGAAAAAAGAAATATTATTTTGCAAAGAGACATCGTGTAGCCCTAATTGCCACTGCTCAATTAAAGACGGAAAACAAGTCTCGTATAGTAATTGAAGCTAAATAACTTAGGAAACGAAAAAATAAAAGGATCTTCATATTCATCAACAACAAGAAGGAAAAATCATTTCCCAACGAAACAACATATTCCCACAATCGCAGCGAATTACGAAATCGATTCTGTGCATTTAAGAAATACCTAAAAAAAGGATCTCTCTGCTGAATTTCAACCAAGGAAGCAGTAACTTCAATGGCCACATGAATGCCCCCTCTGATTTGCCACGTCGATATCTACAACAAACCCACCATCAATATCGAAACAATAGAAAATGAAAAATTTCCAACAGTTCGCACAGTAATTGCAAGTATACAGATAATGAAATTCATGTACAATTTATTAAATCAAAATCTAAATTCAAATTTCTTACTATGCGGAGAGCAGAGGCAACTGAACTAGAGGAGGCGGAGAAAAGGGAATCCTTGACGAACTTCCACTCATCCCAATTCATCCATGGCACGTACCTTAAGCTATGGGACTTCTCTTCAACGACGTCGTACTGTACGTTGTCCTTCAACCCTGACAAGAACTCCATCTCCTAATTCCCTTTTTCTAGGGTTTAGAGGAATGAAAGTTTCAGGTATTCAGAGAGGTTTTAGACGAAACCCCCGGTTTGAGTGAACTCAGATGGATCGGCTTGAACCGGCCGGTTGAGAGTTAACAGAAATATTTTAAATAATAAAAAAAAAAATTAAAATGGAAAATATTAAACGGGCCGAAGCCCACTATCCAGAACGGGCCTTATTTGGCGCGACTGTTGAAAAAAGAAGACAACCTTCCCTCGAAACGGAAAACAGCTTATTCAAAAACACAACGTTTCAGGGGTGAGAATTTCAGGGGTCTCTCTCTCTCTCTCTCTCTCAATAATTCTCACTCCTACCAAATTTCACTTCTGAATTTGTGTAAGTATACATATATCGTCTTTCAAAAATCTCCGACAAAAATTAGAAATATTTTAAAAAAAGGAAATGAATCAGCTTTTCTTGAAAATATAAGAAATTACCTTAATTCTTCAAATCCTAGGTTTTATGTCTCAGTTTTACCATGCAAATCCATTCTTTAATGTCTAACATGGTTGAGTAACAAACTCTCTCTCTCTCTCTCTAAATAAATTGGATATATTATTTTGTTGCAGGTGGGAATTGTGGCTAAGATGAACAATAATAATCTTGTCTTATTGTTATCGATTCTAATATTATCGACGCAAACTCACCGATCATGGGGTTGGTTTTTTTCCTCCAAAGAGGAGACGAATTCAGACAAGAAGTTAATGTATGTAGCTTCATCGGAATTCTCGATCGAGTCCTTAAATGACCAATCGGGCATCCAGGTGATCGAAAACGCAAAGAACAAGATGCTCGCCCCGAATTCCTGCTGGCAGACGGCCTACCAGAACGTTTTCCAAGGGTGCACCAAAACCCTAGCCGACGAGGAGTCGCGGTCGAGGCTCGCGTGGCACCTCAGCGACTGCTTCCAGCGCCACACGGGTCGACCCGCTTTCCCGTATTGCGACCCGAAATCGAACATGAAGAAGTGCCTCAAGAATCTCGATGTGGACGCCCACAAAGTCTTTCTCGAGTACTATCTTGAAACGAACTCCATCTGTCACCAGTTGCAGTGAGTCTCTCTTTTTTTTTTCCCTTCCAAATTCGATCTACACACAATCACACACATACACGTATGGGTGTGTGTAAAACATTTATGGTTGGATACTACAAGGTGAAGTCCACCATGTGTATGTAGGGTAGAATTAGCCCTCGTGTAAGCATTAAGGGCTGATTTACACACAATCACACACATATACATGTGGGTGTGTGTACGTGCATAGATAAATACACGTGTATGGTTGGCTAAATGCCGTTTAAGTGTTGATTAGACCTAACTTCAGCCCTATTAATGCTAATATTTGTGATTTTTTTTTTTTAAATTTAAATTATAGGACCGAAGCGTTTAGGCATCAAACGGAGAGGTTAGTGAACGAGTTGAAGAGCACCGCAGAATACGCAGAGGCGAAGCTAGGCAAGATAGAAGAACACGGGGAGATTTTACTAGAGAACGCTAAACAAGTGCACGATTCTTTGTCCACAATAGACGTGACAACTCAGCAAGTAGCGGAAACTTCTAGAAAAGTCGAGGAGCACGTGACCTCGGTTCTGGAACACTCTCAAATGGTTTACGAGCAGTCGAAGGGAATAGTAGCTTCTCAAGTGGAGTTGCAACAAGGGCAGGCTCGAATGAAGGAGAATTTGGCCGAAGGAATGGCTTTGATACAGAGCTCGTACGAGAGTTTGGGGGGCGAAATCGTCAATTTGAGAAACGAAGCGGTTGAGATAGAGAAGGGGGTCGCGAAAGTTGGGGAAGCAATGTTTACGAAGATGAGTGTTTTGCAGAGCAAAGCTGACGATATCGGTGACATGGCGGGGGCATCGTTGGACAAACAAAAACAGCTTCTTGATGGACAGACGGTCGCTCTCGAGGGTTTACATTTTCTCACCAAGTTTCAGTCACAGGCTCTTGAAGAGAGCAGGTAATTGTTTTTAATAATTAAAATATCTATCGAAATAAAACGTAAGAATCGAGCTGATGTAAATATAAACAAATACGCAGGTTGACTCTGCAGAAGTTAGCTGAATTCGGGCATAAACAGCAGGAGGAACTACTCGAACGGCAAAAAGAACTTCATCAGTCTCACGATCATTTAGTCGAAAATTCAAGAATGATGATAGAAGCTCAGGTAAGTGCTTTTATTTATTTATTTATATATATATATATATATATATATATATAAATTCAATAGACATTAAGAAAATCGAAAGTTTCGAGTAATTTACAAAATTACCTTTATTTTTTTAAATTGATTGCAGGAAGCATTTGAGTCGAAGCAAGCGAGCATGTTTGTAGCCATAGACAAGCTATTTGCGTTGCACAGTGCAATGTTGTTCGAATCACGAGTCATCATTGCTTTCTTGATATACTCTGTTGCAATCTTCATCATCTACATGCTGACCAGCATTAAGCACGCCTACAATGTCAGACACAGGCTTTATTTAGGTAAACGATTTTCGTATTTCACAAACCTCGATATATCGTCTTAAAACAGTTCTTAAGATCGTTGTCTATTTTTTTGTCAGGTCTTTGTGTGACATTCTTAATCGAAACAAGTATAATTTGGTGCGTAACAACCGACGCTGAACAGCAAGGAAGGTTAATACATATGGTTAGGTCACTTTTCGGGATATTGGCATCCATCCAATATCTATACGCCATTTTTACCTACAGGTGAAAGTTTAATTATACATGTATAAAAATAAAATAAAAAACGGACAAAATTTTACGTAGATTGAAGTGACTGACAAAAATTCTTTTAAAAAAAATGCTGCAGAGATTATGAAGTACTGAACCATCATATGCTACTGACACTAATGGAGAAGATTAACAGTATGCAAGGGAACAAGAACAAAGAGCTGATCTCGTGGGAAATGGACAACGAGAGTGACGTGGACTGGTCATCGTGGGTCGATACCGAATTGCCTGAGGATGTAGATTTGTTAGAAGATCCCGATTATTTATTACCGGAAGAAGTTGGTGATAATTCTTCGATTACTAGTTCATACGCCAAGAGATATAATCTCCGAAGGCGCTAGTTACTAAATCTTTTTTTTTTTGGGGGAATTCTTGTATTTAAAGAACAATATACAAAAAAGTCGAAAAACCATATATATATTATAACATATTTTGAATTTAATCACGAAAAACTCACAGATTTTCCGATACTTCACCAATAGTCATTGCAAGAGCATTTTCCATCTTCGAAATGGTGGAACCGATTCGTGTCTCTTAATATAATTCTTCTCTGTCTTACTTCGGAAACATGTTTCATCCAAACATGGCAATCGGCACAAACACGAAGATTCTTCGTGATTCTAATCGGCAAACCCGACCCACTATTTATCAGCGCAAATACCGTAGCTACCCTTTCGCTGTGACCACACACCCACTCCACCTTCATTTCATCATCAATGTCATGAAGAACAACTCCAGTATCGGGGGTATATCCATTCTTCTCCATTTCTTTCGTCAATTCATCCCATATTCTCCTATACTCATACGAATTACGAAACTCAAAACCCCCACCAGAAACGAAACTATGTATCCTATCTTGAATTTGTACCCAGCTACAACCAGCTTCTTTCTTGATTCCTCTCTCCTCCATGAGCTCCCTCACCGAATGAACCTTATCCCAAATCCCTGCTTTTGCGTAAATATTCGATAACATTACATAGTTTCCGGGATTTGTCGGTTCGATTTCGAACAACTGTTTTGCTATGACTTCTGCAAGCGAAACGTAACCGTGGAGCCTACAAGAGTTAAGCAGCGAACCCCAAATACTACCACTTGGCTTCATAGGCATTTTCTTCACCACTTCTAATGCCTCCTCGATATTTCCCGATCTACCTAATATATCCACTAAGCAAGCGTAATGCCCCAAACTAGGAACTATTTTAAATTCTGCACTCATTCTATCGAAGAGGATTTGACCCTCGGTTGCCATTCCAGCATGACTGAAACCCGATAGCAATGAGATGAAAGTCACCTCGTCTGGCTTTAATTCAGCCTCGATTATCTGATCGAATACCGCCACAGCTTCTGCCATCAAACCGTTGATTGCGTATGCATTGATGAGAGTGTTCCACGATGTCAAATCCTTGGATTTCATTCCGTCAAACACTTTCTTACAGTACTCCGTTACTCCACACTTAGCGTACATATCCAGAAGGGAGTTCAACACAAGAACATCGGGCGATTCCGCCGACTTTATTATTTGGCAGTGCACCTCTTTGCCGAAATAAAGAGCCGTCATGCGCGAACAAACGGATAAAATCGTGGTTAAGCTAACCCAACTAAACCCCACTTTATCCCTCTGCATTTTCCGGAAAGTATCTAAAGCCTCGAAAAACTGATCTTTGTTGGCAAACCCAGCAACGAATGCGTTCCAGGTAGCAACATTTCGGTCAGGCATACCATCGAACACCTTCAGCACTTCGTAGGAACTCCCAAATTCGGTGTAAAACTTCAAAAGAGCATTGTACACCACTTGATCAGCTTCTTCATCGGACTTTATAATCTGCGCGTGGACAGCTCTACCGTTGCCGACATCCGGTATCCCCGAACAAGCCTTGAGCGCAGCCGAAAACGCAAAATTCCCAGGCCGAACACCCCGGGACAGCATTTCCCAATACACAAGCAGAGCTTCCCTAAAATTGCGGTTTTTGGAAAACCCAATCGCCATAGCCACGTAAACCGACTCGGGCACAGATCCCATCTCGTCAATTCCATGGCGGAAGGCTCGCCGGGCATCGTCCAACCTGCCGCAGGCCGAGAAAAGAGTGACGAACTTGGATTTCAAAGTGGGGTTTTTGAGGAGATCTTTCTTCTCCTCCGTCTGAAGGAGATGAAGGTAGAGTTTCCGGCCGTGGTCGAAGGATTTTCTCGAGATACAGGCGTGTAAGACCGCGGCGTAGGAGTCGACATTGGGCTGCGTGGTGGCGGATTTGGATTGGTGGGAGGATTCCAGTAAAAGGCGAAGAGCTTCGTCGAGCTTGCCTGAATTGGAGAGAGATTTCAGGGTTGAATTCAGAGGGTTTTGTGTGTGTGTTTGGTTGCGAGATTTTGGGGTTGGAGCGACGGTTAAGTTAGTTGCGATGGATAAACAAGAAATTGCCATTGTTTTCTGTTTCTCTTTCTTCTTCTGCTACTAAAATGCATCTCTGATTGATATATATATATATATATATATATATATTAAATTATTAAATTATCCAGTTAATAATTTAGCACGTTTTCACCAATTTGGGATCGGAAGAATATTATTATTTATGGAGGTTGTTAATTTATCCGAGGTTCTATTGTATTTGTTTACTTTCAGTAACTTGTATTGATTCTCATGTTAATACATATTTATTAATTTTCTTAATTCATGTATCGAAACCTTAAAAACTGACAGTTATTTTAGAACGAAAGGAGTGTTACAAAGTGTGTTCGTATATAATACAATTTAAATCCGAAATTGTAAATAGGAATGCTACTACAATTGTTCAATTTAAAGACACTTTTTCAATGAAATTTGGTTTAGTTACTCTTACTATCAACTGTTTATATTAAATTTAGCCAAACAAGCTTTTACTTCATTCAAATTCATATTATGAAGTTCACGGGGTACATGTAATCGCAGGAAGTTGGATATTTATTTAATATATCAAAATTTGGTAAAATGTCGGGAATTCGAATCTCTTTAGGTGCGTTTGTTGTAGGTCTAAGTTATCAGACGAGATAAAAAAAAGTAGCAAAATAAATTGAAGAAAAGTATCCTTCATAGGACAATCTTATTTAGACCTAGAGCTACAACGTGGATATATAGCAGTAGCGTTAACCGGCAACCGGAGATGGCAATTCAAATGCAACCAAAACTTAACCGAACCAATCAACCCGACCTTCCACCTCGTCCTCGTGGTCCCCACGAGCTCGAAGCTCATCACCCCTTCTTTCATCGCCGATCCGACGGCGTCCGCCCGCTCGGGGCTCAGAGGGATCGGCGTCGACTGGGACACGTAGTTGAACTCCTTGGTCGTGTTCGCGGCCACGTCGAACGGCTCCGCGACCAGGTAGGCAATCTTCTGGCCGCGGAAGGCGAGCGCGAAGCTCGTGTCGTAGAAACTGGCGCGGGCACGCGCGTTGTCGTTCTCCGCCCGGATCACGATGGTGATCTGGACGGTGAGCAGGCTCGACTGGTCGAAGTAGACCGTGTCGAGCTGGGCCTGCGAGACGCTGACCTGGGGGACTTTAGGCTTGATGGTGACGTAGCCGACGAAGACGACGATCCCGGCCACGATCACCACCACGGCTATGGCGGCACAGATGATGGCGGCGAGCCAGATGAGGGGGTTGGTGCGGCGTGGGCCCAAGACTTGCTTTGGCATATTAGGAAGACAAGTTTTGCAAATATTTTTGGTGGGTTTTTTATGTTTGAAGATTTTATGGGGGAGTTTTGGTTGATGGTGTAATGGGTGGGGAAGGTTTTGGTATCTACTTTTCCTAGGAATAAAGCTATCTTATGAATAACAATACTTCAGAACTTTAAACTTTTCTTGTACCTTAATTTTCACAGCTCTGAGTTTCAGACAACATTGGGAATGTGTAGTAAGTTTAGAATGTCAGAACCATATTATAACGTCTCAAAATATAGGAAAGAGCCCCTTTTTTCGGCAAATCTGAATTCCTTCAAGAGCGTCTCCAAAGCAAGAGCGAGAAAAAAAGCGAAAAAAAACACGAAAAAACATGAAGAAGAAAGTGAATAATTATTGCACATGTCTAAGAATTCCGACAGTGAGTCTCGTTTACATATGTAGTTACAAGGATTTGGAGACTTTGTTAGAGATGGAGGTGACAGAAGTAAAACATGAAAACTAAGTCCTACGAACCACAACTAGAAAATCCCTCGACACGAGCAAAGTGATTAAGATTAGCTAGTCGGCTCAAATGAGGATGTAAACTAATGTACAAAGGCAGATTGCGAAAAAAAAAAAATCAATCAACTTACTGATACAGGCTTGTGAGATTCCGCACTTAGAACTCCTTATAGCACTTTGATCTTCCCTTGTACAAAGACAAACACATGGTAACATCTTCGGAGGAATTGCTGCAAAAAGAGGAGATGAAAAGCCGAAGGCTAATTTCGGTATATCGCACAACAGTTCACCGATAAATGCACCGATTCATGCAGTATTTGCTAATTTGAACCTCTAAGCAGGGATGATAAAGTCGTCCGTTTCAATTACGTACTCTGCAAAACTAAAGTTTAAATACCGTGCCCAAATCCACGGTTGGCTAACAAACCATTGTAAGTTAGAAATTAATCTCTTGTTTTAGAACTATTTAACATCCGAAATCGAACCTAATTTAAACAAAAATCGGAAGAGCAATTTGAACAGAAAAGAAACTGAAGGGAGAAAAACGGATATCACGCGAACTTTTCACTTTCTTGAAATCTGGTCATAGATTTCACCCGAACTTTTCCCCTCATAGAAACAATTCTTCACCTTCGTTTTGTTGACTCGTTGATTATAATTCTTTCATCAATCATCTTTTCCGCAAACCTTCTCAAATCCGAGAGCCTCCACATACTACAAAAACCTACTCGTCTGAAGCCGGGCAGATCAACACCAAAGACCTGGATCGCGGGTCGTCACCATGCATGCGAATTGCTGCATCGATCGGGCTGGAGAACAAGATCGATGATATTAAAATGGTGATTGATGATTGGAAGAAATATACAGTACTAGAACCTCAATGATTTAATACCTAACAAATTAATATTTTTCCCGATCCCGACTCGATCGGGGACAACGTGCTAAATTAATAATTCTCTAAATTTATAAGATAATACACGTAATTCGAAATTTTAAGAAGCCCCAGTTAGTATATAAATTAATAATGCATAAAAATAATTTCTTAAATTACATAGTACAAATATACATTTTATACCACCAGAACACTCAACACAAGTAAAACTTAAGAACATATAACCCAATGCACCCGACACCGTAAAAGCCAAAGTAAAGGCATATAATCCAATAGTTTATTTGTGTGCGCACATACATCTATAGCTTTAACGAACGATGTTTTAGCACATTATTTTAACATTAACTCCATCAACAACAATAATTTGAAAGTTGGACAAAGAAAGTACAACAAAACAAGCTGAATTAACAACATAAAATAAAGGATTTTTCTTCATAAAACAACTGAACTAACAAATACACGGAAAATCAAAATCACTCGCCTCCGTTCGAAGAACAAAGTAAAATCTCGATTAGTTCACTTAAACCCTACAAACGCAGTTCCGATTAAGTTACCTGATAAAGAAAACTTCGGAGTATAGACACATACACAATGTGTTCAAACATGGTTTCTCTAACTATTAACATTAATTTTCAAATCAGCATAAGTTGAGAAAACCTGTAAAATCATTTTTTTCTAACATACAAATTGAACACAAATAGAGGCCCATATATATTCACCTTCATATGAAAATTAACAGCACATATTTTCTTCACTAAGGCATAAATACTCTTCCAAACATTAGAATGTAAATTTAATCAGTCATACGTTTAAAGTAAAACCTGAGCGCTCAAGTAGCCGAGCCGAGCCGAGCCGAGCCGAGCCGGCGGGGGTTCCAATGCGAAACGGATTCATCAGACGACTAGAGATGCAAGCCGCTCTCATCTGCATCACTGTAAACAGCTGCGGTTCGAATCCTGCGCGCAATTTCGCCTCTAATCGCGATCGGTATCTTCTCAATTCTCGCACTTGTTGGGTTGATTGATCAATTTCTGCGAATTAGATAGGCTTGGACGAAGAACACACGCAGTGGGAAGTGTAGTGTGTGTGCGTGAGTGAAAACGCCCGATGGATATATATATATGGGGTATATTTGTAAATATGAATAGTTGGTCAGGGCATTTAAGTAAAATATTCACAGGGTTGGGCTGAACCAAATTCAATATCCAGATGGATTGTGAAATCGATCACACTGGATCAGACCAACCAAAAGATCCCTAAACTAATGGTAAATTGAGTAATATATGTAAAGTTGGGCCTAAGATAAATAATTCTTTTTTGACGGGCCCTAAAATAAATAATCAGTTGCCACGTGTACTATAAATAAATAAATAAATAAATAACCTAGTCCTGTCATAATACAATATTGAAGGCGTTTCCCCAAGAACGAATCTAGGGCTACCTATTTCACCTAAGGTTGGTATTCTGTGCTTTTTAATTTCTTCTTCTTCTTGTTATTATTGTTATTATTATTGTTATTATTATTATTGTTGTTATTATTATTGTTATTATTAGGGCTGGGACTGGGTTGGGTCGGTCGATTACCAGCCTAAAAATCGACACATCCGTCAAACCATTTTTGCTCAAATTTAACTTTTGATAATATTAGAAACCACCAACCGACCCATTATAGATGGGTTGGTTGAAATTTTCGACCCGATCCAATGGATCGGTTAAAAATTGATTATCCGCCTAAAAATATGGTCGGTAATGGGTCGGTTAGTGGATAAAAACCAACTCAGTCCCAGCCCTAGTTATTATTGTTATTATTATTATTATTATCATTATTATTATTATTATTATTATTATTGTTATTATTATTATTATTGTTATGATTTTTTGGGAGTTTTGAATGCGAAATATTGTTGTTTGTTTGATTATGAAGAAGTATTATTATTATATATGGTGTGTTTATTCTGTTTTTGCCCCAAATTTTATATATAATTTGAGTGGGAGAATTACACTTTTGGTCCCTCATGTTTGATCCGATTTCACTTTTGGTCCCCTTGTTCCAAAGTGAACAAAGTTCACCTCCAAGTTTCAATTTTAAACACTTTTGGTCCCTGCCGTTACATGTCCGTTAGCAAGTAACGCAAAACACTATTTTGGGGTGAAAATTTAAATTTGAAATTTTTTTGGGGCTGAAAAATAATTATAAATTTAAAATAGACTACTTATAATTAAATTTTTAATAATATTAAGTATAATGAAATTATTTGGTTAATTTTTTATTTATTAAAAAAATCATAAGTAGTATAATTAAAACTATATTAAATATAATTCACAATAATTTATTTAGTTAATTTATTTTTTATTATTAAAAACAAAAGACTCGATAGGGTCTCTTCGGATTTTTTATTGCCATTGTTGGGGCACTCTTTTTCCTTGCGTTAAAGAGGCCCTAAAATGTTTTATCATAGTGAAATAATAAAACCTTTTTGGCAAAAAAAAAAATATAATTAAAAAATTAGTTGTAAGTAGTACAATTATAATAAAATTAATTATAATTAAAAATGATTTGTTTAGTTAATTATTTTTTTGTTATTAATATTTTTATCATAAGTAGTATAATTGAAAATAATATTAAGTATGATTAAAAATAATTTGTTTAGTTGATTTTTTTATTATTAAAAATTTAATTATATGTAATATAATTATAATAATATTAAATATACTAAAAAAATAATTTTCGTTAATTTATTTTTTTATTATTAAAAATTATAAGTAGTCTATTTTAACTTTATAATTATTTTTCAGCCCCTAAAAATTTTAAAATTTCATTTTTACCCTAAAATAGTGTTTTCCGTTACTTGCTAACGGACATGTAACGGCATGGACCAAAAATGTTTAAAATTGAAACTTAGAGGTGAACTTTGTTCACTTTGGAAGAATGGGGACCAAAAGTGAAATCGCACCAAACATGAGGGACCAAAAGTGTAATTATCCCTAATTTGAGTCTATAAGTTGGGGATAATCGAAGAATTTTAAAACCATGTTTCGAACAGGAAAAAAAAAATGTCGTCGGTAAGTTCGAACAACATTGCCGATCTCGAGAAGTTGATGGAATCATATATTTCTCGCATGGCCAACAATATCGGGCCGTCGCCCATGCAAGCCATACAAAACCACCCTTACCCGAATGAAATCCAACAACACAACGAAATCGAGCAGAAGGTGGTTCTAGAGTTTCGTAAAATGGCCTACCTCATGGCGTACCTCCTTAGGGCATACTCACAAGAAACAGCTCTCACTCTCCCCGAAGCGAGAGCTAAAGTAGAGATGTTGAGGGCCCACGAGCAAATCTTGCCCGATTTTCCCGTCTTACTACAACAACAAGCCAAGGTCTCACTACAACAAGCCATTGCTTCCAGTGAGTTCTCCCTACAACATAACCTCTACTCCATCCAAATAGCCGATGCTTACGTCGACCAAATCTCCGCTTACGCTCAAGAAAATAACGATCTCGCTTCAATGGGTATGATCACTTACCTCTCCATTGTGTCATTTTTATTTTATTGAATTTTTAATTTTTTTTTTTTTAACTTTTGTGTATGTACTAGAATGGTACGCGAAGCATGCGGGTATGTATTTGCCTAGGCCTTTAGCCATGTTAAATACACTGTTTAGCGTGCGAATGAAAATCGAGGACTTGCCATTGGAGATGAATGAGAGGGTGGTGAGGTTGCAGGAGATGGGGTTCCATGTTACGCGTAAAGTAGACAATTGGGCCCCCGGCGGCAACGTTCTTCAGTTGGAGCCAGCCGTGGATGATGAGTCGCCAATGTATGAATACTTGTATATCGACGATGAACAGCCATCACTAGATTGGGTCCCTAACGGCATTATGGAAATAAGGACGGCGTCACGACTTATTTAAATCATGTTAGTTTATTCCTTAGTTCGAACATTATCACAGACTTATTTAAATTTTAAACCATGTTAGTTTATTCCTTAGTTCGAACATAGATTTTGTTTCACGTCGTTCTAGACTTCTAGTAAAGATATTTATCTAATGCAATTTCCGATATTAATTTTTCGAAGATAATCAGAATACATATTAGACTCCGGTCCGATTTCAGTTATGAAATATTTTCAATGTATTTTATACTATAGGTGGCTAAAGTTAGAAATTCTGAAATTCCGCCTATCTGAACCGAAAAAATCAAATTTTGGAACAAGTTTCTTTTTTTATTCCAATTTCCAATTTTTCGGAACTAAATTGGGATTAGTTTTGCACTTCCGAAAAAAAGAAATGTAATTTTTCCGAAAATGTTAATTCCAATTCGATCCATTCGATTTCCACTCCCAAGTACAATATATGTAAGCAGATTCAATAATAAATGATTAGAAGTACTTTACCGAGTGATGGAACTTACAGTGAAAACGAAATTGGAACATTCCGAAGATAGTCAATCCTTCGCCACATCATCAATAAATAGTCCGGAGTATCATGAAATGCACCTCACCGGAATACTGCAAACAGAGAAGATGAAAACCTGGAGGCTAATTTTGGCATTTCACATAACAGTTCACCGATAAATGCATCGATGACAAAGTCGTTCCTTTCAATTACTCTGCAAATCTAAAGTTAAATACCGTGCTCAAATCCATGGTTGGCTAACAAACCATTGTAAATTATTATAAATTTAAAAGGAAGGAAAAAATAATTTAAAAAAAATATATAATATATATATATGTGTGTATGTATATATATATTATACAATGGAAAAAAAGCACATGAAATTCGTTGTTTTTTTTTTCAAGAAACCACCTAGAAAAACAGCCTACTGCAATTTCAACGTACACTAAAGCCGTTAAACGTACGAAGATTTCCACTTTCTCGAAATCTGGTCGTAGATTTCGCGCGAACCTTTCCCCTCTTTATAGAAACAATTCTTCACCTTCGTCATTGTTGACTCGTTGATTATAATTCTTTCGTCGATCATCTTTTCGGCAAACCTTCTCAAATCCGAGAGCCTCCCCATACTACAAAAACCAAGAAGCACCGCGTTAGCTCCTTCATCACGGGGCGAAATATTGTTCGTAGACATGTATTTCCACATCTCGATCGCAATCTCCGGATCATCCCCATCAAACAGCAACTTTATGGCGGCGGTTAAATTCGCAGGAGTTGGCTGCTGCTCGTTTTTCACCATCTCCATAAAGAACTTCCCGACTTCACGAACCATTTTATTCTTTATCAAACACTCGAAGATCATGTTATAAGTCGAAGAGTCCGGGAAAGCGCCGTGGAACGCCATGCCATCGAGCAGGCGAAAGGCGTTTTCGATATTATTGTCGGCCGTGAGCAAACCGATCATGACATTGTACATCACCAAGCTCGGGACTAATCCACCGCCCACCATTATATCCCACAGCATAACAGCGTGTACGGAATCTTTCTGTTTCACGAAAATATCGAGCGCATTGGAGAAGAATCTCGAACCTGGCAGGCAGTTCTTCCCCTTCATCACCTGCAAGAACTTGACCGCCTCGTCGGCATTCGAGGCGCGTACGAGGGTGTTTAAAAATGCGTCGTACGCGAACATGTAGTCTGGGCTCCACCCGACGCGAATCACCATTTCGCCGAACGTGTTTTTGGCCTTGGCCACGTTTCCTTCCTTTTCCCATCCTTCTAATAGAATGGCGAACGAGTCCGCATCTGGTGGTATTTTGGCTTTTACTCTATCGAAAAATTCGAGCGCTTTCACCGTTTGGTTATCTTCTCTGCACATGGCGCTCAGTAACGAATTTACCGCGACGATGTCTGGTGGGATTCCGTACCTGCGTAAACTTAATAACTTCAATGCCCAAATATATATATATATATATATATATATATATATATATATATATATATATATATATATATATATATATACACACACACACACACACACGCAGTTCTTCGGTTTACATTGAGTATCTACCATAATCTCTCTTCTTTAACTGCTTATTTTGAATTGAAAAAAATGCAGTATAAAAAAAAGAGATTCCTTTACCTTTCCATAACATCGAAAGTCATGACAGCTTCATCGAACCTCCGGGCAATGCAGTAATTCTCGAAAACCGAGACGAATGTGGTCAAGGAGAGCAAACCCTCCTGCTTCATTGACCTAATTGCGTCCCACATTGGCTCAAACAGTTTATTCTTCCCCAGCAAATCCACCATGAGATTCCACGAATAGCCGGTGTGCTTCTGCGCCAGCCCCGCCCACCGGAAGAATTTGGCGGCGGTGGACGGATTGTTGTACGATAGCTTCAGGACTTGCTGGGCGGTTTCCGGGTCGGGTTGAATTAGGGTGGATCCCAGACGCGCCTCCACTTCGTGAACCGGCGCGGCGGCGAGGATTTCGCAGAGGATTCGTGCTTGGGGAGAGATGTCTACGGATGTGATGTACGTAGGGAAGCGAAGTGGCGGCACCGGAGGTAGAGAGCTCAAGTTTTCCGCCGCCATTTGTGTATTTTTCAGTGCCTCATTAGTCAAATTTCGGTGCATGCATATCTGTGTGTTAAAAATTAGGTTTCCGGTTATGGTCGGAGAATATTCTCTGTCCGCCGGCGGTGATTCGCCGACCGGTAATTTTGATTTAGGGAAAAAAAACTTCGATCAGAGAAGCCGATGACCCGGATCCGGATACCCACGACCCTGTTAAGATGGGTGTTAATAGTTTCTAAATTTCACTTTTACCCCCCTAAAAATAAACTCCTTTACTTTTAACCCACTTAAAATTCACTATTTACGTTTCGACCCCATTATTTCATAGTTTTGACATTTCTTCACTGACTCAGTGATTTCATTCACAGCGCAACCGTCACTTTCCCACACCGGTGACGTGGCTCACCGTCGACCGTTGTTGGCACGATGTGCTGTGAGAAAGACAATCGTGACCGTGACGGTGAGATTAGCAGCTGGGGATTTCCAATCAACCAAAATTCTTTGTCGTCTATGGCTGCTGTCTTCCTCCACTCACAATTCCCCCAAACTCTACAAACCCTAGCATTTCTGCTTAATACGAAACCCCCTTCGTAAAGTGAAACCGCATGAGAGAAATCCCCAATTTTTCATCACCATGATGAACCCCACCAAAGCCCTAGCTAGAATCCCGACGCCGTCGTTTTGCTGCAGAACGAGTAAATTGGCTCGAAATGTGAATTGGGGTTTCCGATTTCACCCCAAATTTACTGTCTTTTTGCCGGCGAGATCCACCCCCGATCATCGGACGGCGGTCTCTGCTTCATCGGTACCGGCTGTAGCATCAGATGTTAGTTCTGCGGGCCTGTCTCATAATCCGAAGCAAGAGATGCTGGATAGTCTAGAAGCAAATATAGAGAAGGTGATTATATATATATATATATATATATATATATATATATATATATATATATATATATATATATATATATATAGTATTGAGATACAATTCTTCTTGTTTTATCTTTTTTAAAGTTTTTTCGTTTTCTTGCAGATTATCTATGGATGCCGATTTTTCGCCATTCTTGCGGTTTGGGGTTCATTGATTGGATCTTTTCTTGCTTCTTCAAGGTGATATTTTCCATTAATTACCTTGACATACTTTCACCCTTGTTTAGATTTTATTGAATATTCGATTGTTATTGTTATGTATTAGCGAATGAAGTACGGCGATTTCGGGAACTAAATGTCGTTTTCCCTTATAATTATATTCGAACTATCTTCAATTACGATGAAAGTTGCAATTTTTTATTCCCCTGTTTTTAAATGTCGTTTTATTTACTACGGCAATTTGTGTATAAGATTTGAGAGTGAATCAAGTATGCCGTCACGGAGTTTTAACTTTCTAATGCCGTATGCGTTCATCCGTACACAATCTCGAAACTATCTTGAACATTAAACTTTACGAAGTTGCTTTCAATATCAGTAAAAAAGTCCTTCCCGATTATCGAATTATGGCTGATATTTAGTGGTTCTATATTGATTAGTGAAGCTTCTTCATATATACAGGGATGTACATACATTGTATCGTCGTTTAAAGATTACTTTTTGGACAGAGGAAAAGTGATGACATTACTCGTTGAAGCTACTGGTAATGTGTATATTAAATAGCCTTTTTACTTCTTCGACTTATTTACGTAATCAACTTTTGAGCTGATTATAAAGTACTTTGATTTTTTAATCTAGATGTCTACTTACTGGGGACTGTGATGTTGGTATTCGGCATGGGCCTTTACGAGCTTTTCATCAGTAATCTCGATAAAGCTAAATCGTATCCGGACGGAAGAACTCCCAACAGGTCGAATTTGTTCGGTATGTTTGTTCTCAAGGTACGTTTGAATTTCCACTTTTTTTTTTATTGTTTATGTCACAACCCGAAATAATTGCAAGTGTCACTTTAGAGTTTCAACGCATAATTTTTTTTTTCCTACTTTACCCTCGTAAATTAATGAATTGTTAAAGAGAAGCTGAAAAGCCACAGGGGTAATTTTGTCAAATAAGGATTTTTTTTTCCCGTTAAAATCGAGACTATTTATTAACTCCCCCCTCCACCTTAATCGACACTTAACAACAAATAGAGGGAGTAGCTCGTTATTTGAAATTGAATTCACTAGAGTTTGTCGAAATATGAATGCTGCATTTGGTGAAGTTTACGAGCAATTTTTTTTTTTTTTTTTTTTTGGTTGGTGATTTTGTGGGTCTTTGTATTGATGGAAACAAATGAATTAGGAACGGCCAAAATGGTTGGAAATAAAAACGGTGAATGAACTGAAAACGAAGCTGGGGCATGTGATAGTGATGCTTCTGCTAATTGGTTTGTTCGACAAAAGCAAGAAAGCTGTCATACAATCGCCTGCCGATCTTCTTTGCTTCTCTGCGTCCGTGCTCCTTTCGTCCGGTTGCCTCTTCTTGCTATCAAAGCTAAATCATTGAATAAAGATGAATTATTATTATTTACTTTTTTTTTTCTTCTTTTTTTGGGTAAATAGAATTTAGTATCTCATTTCAAGAAACCTAAGCAGCTATACCACCCACATATAGAAGCTGTAAACTGTAACTGATTTAACTGGCAACTCTTTGATTGTTAGTTTGATCTTTTCTTCATAAGAGAGTGAATTAATTACACAAAGTATGCTTCAGCTTTTGTCTAACTACAAAATAATGCAACTATCTTTTCCAAATTTACAAAAAAACCCCATTCCCATGTGATTTTTATTAGAGATTATTGCATTCGGCACCCTATGGTTATTCTAATTACTAAAATAGTACTCGTATTATTTTTTACCAGCAAAAATATCCTATAATTCATTTTTTTAGCACAATTTAACACTTATAACAATTAGAAATAAATCAAATTGTTTTTTTTTTCCTTCCGAAAATCCTTTTTATTATGTAGATTTGAGAAATTATAGTATATATATTCAAGTTTTTATTAATTTAAAAGAAAACAATAAAATAACAAAACACTCCCATTTCTCAATAATTAAATAAAGATTAGTATTTATTAGTTTTCTTTCTCTCAGTCAAATTTGATTAAACTTTTTTTTTCATCTTTAAAAACACTAAAAAAGAAAAATGTAAAAAAAAAAAAAATAGTAGCAAAAATATATAAATTCCAGACTGGCTCTTGTCCTGTTGTCCATATTCAATTGAAGTTATGGAGAGAGAGAGAGAGAGAGAGAGAGAGAGAGAGAGAGAATCGTCACCACTGACTACAGTCTAACAGTATTTATCTCTCTCAACTCTCAACGACAAATTAATGTTCGAAGCACTACTCTATATAGTATATACTGGACCGCCTCTCATCACTCCTCTCTCTCTCACACACACACACACACACACACAGTGACTCTATATATATATAACAAACAAAGAAAAAAGAAACAAGAACACGTCATCATCATCATCAATGGAGAAGACGAAGAAGAAGAAGAATGCTTACTCAGCAGCTCTAATGGAGGAACTGACAGCTGTCTGCGACACCTTCTTACCCTCCATACATCTCTCCGATCACCACCGCCACCACCAATTCTACCAAACATCAGCTTCCATGACACAAACACCTCACCATGTAAGAAACAATTCATTTAAATTTCCATGCATGTTATAATTTTTTTATTTAAAAAAATAATAATAATAATAAATTTGTTTTTGCAGCTGGCTGAGTTGCTGGGAGAGAAAATAAAGCACCCGAAGATATATCTAAGCAGATTGGCGCTGTTCTCGCTGTCGACGAGGTTAGGAACATTCATACTATGTGGGAGAAAAAGCTTGTCGGAGAAATTCCCATACTTGCAGAGATTCTCTAGGGTTTTGCCTCACAAGAGGGAGCAGATTCTGCTCTCTTGGTCTGAAAGCTGTTTCTCTCTCCTCCGAATCCTCTACGCCGGTCTCAAGATCTTCACCCTCCTCGTCTTCTTCACTCTGGTAATTTTATTTTATTTATTAATTAGTTACCAAGATTTTTTTTAATATTTTCTTTTTTATTCATCTTCTTGTGGTGGTGATTGAATTCTTGAACTTGGATGGTAGTGTTAGATGGAGGATTAATTTATTGCATGTTTGGTGAAATTGTTGAAATGGGCTTGGAGAATTTATTAGGGTAAATTACGGTCTATCCCTGAAGTAATGTCAAATTACAAAAAGACCCCTCGTGTTTGAGTAATTACAATCATCCCCTCAACTATGGATCTTCTTACACGTCCACCCTTGTTTGTAGCCATTGTAACCCGTTCGAGCTCCACATTTTGAAACAAGATCATCATAAGATTTGTCCCTCTTGGCTTGTAAATATCAGATTGTGGTGCATCAGAAATTGCATCAGATTCTGTTGAATTTGACATATATCATAAGGTGTAAGAAGATTCATAATTGAGGGGCTGGTTGTAACTACCCAAATATGATGGGGTTTTTCTTAATTTAAACTTACTTCAGGAGGGGCAGTAATTTACTCAATTTATTATTTACCTCTAAAAAGATTTGCTTTTTATTGTTAACCCGAAAATAAAAATTTGTTGACTGGCCTCTTTACTTCATGATCAGTTGGTGGATGAAATGTATTCAATTTGTCTTGCTGTACTTTGCTTTAGAACAAGTCCAAGAATTAGATTAACTATGAAGATTTGAGGTTTAAATTTGTTGGTCGGTACGGTCCGTTTGATATACTTGATCGAGCTTCGATATATTACTAATTAGTGTCAATTTTTTTTTCTTTTCATTTAGTAGCCTAGTTTGAAGTTCGATTCTGCGTATTCCATGAAAATGTGCACGTGTCTAATTAATCGATCACTCGCAGGTGAATGATAAAGATGAGAATGTCTCGTGGAAAGCAATAGGCTACACCAGGCCCGATCATAAAGCCCGAAAGCCCGTGGTACATAATACACCGCACGAGAAAGCTCGAGAAAAAGGAGAAGAGTGCATAAGCGAGAAGGAGAGATTTGGACCCCTATACAACGGCATCGTCAATTTGAACCAATCGAGGGAAATAGCACTCTGCAAACTCGAGAAATCGGGATTTCCGGTTTCTATACCACATTCGAACGGGGCGAAGATCAAGTCTTCGGATCCTTCCTTCATTGTCAAATGTGACGTGGTGGTGGTTGGTTCGGGCTCCGGTGGCGGAGTCGTCGCCGGAGTTCTGGCGGAAGCCGGATACAAGGTGCTGGTGCTCGAAAAGGGGTGCTATATAGCAAGAAGCAACCTCTCGCTTCTAGAAGGTCAAACAATCGATCAAATGTATCTCGGGAATGGGGTACTAGGGACCGATAATATGGACGTTTTGCTCCTCGCGGGATCGACTGTCGGCGGAGGGTCCACAATCAATTGGTCTGCCTCGATTCGGACCCCGCCGCACGTCAGAAAAGATTGGAGCGAAAACCACAAACTAGAGATGTTCGATGGTGAAATTTACGAAAACGCCCTCGACGTTGTCTGCGAGAAGATGGGGGTACAATCGGAATTCAAGCAGGAAGGGTTCAACAGCACGATTTTGAGAAAGGGGTGCGAGAAATTAGGGTACCCCGTCGAGAGCATCCCCCGTAACGCAGGCCCCGATCACCACTGTGGTTGGTGCAACCTCGGGTGTAGAGACGGGAAAAAGAAGGGCGTTTCGGAAACCTGGCTCGTGGATTTGGTCGAATCGGGAAACGGGGCTATACTCACCGAATGTGAAGCCCTAAAAGTGATCGTGGACCAAAAAGACCGGAAAAAAAGGGCATGTGGGGTTTCTTTTATGTTCGGGAGTGATGAGGTGAAAGAAATCGCAGTTATCGAGTCTAAAATAACGGTCGTTGCATGCGGTGCGATTTGCACTCCCCCGCTACTAAAAAGAAGTGGACTAAAGAATCGAAATATCGGGAGAAACTTGCATCTCCACCCCGTGGTGAACGCGTGGGGGTACTTTCCCGATTCGCCCTCGTCTAGTAACTGTAACTACGTGTGGCCCGAGGCGGAGAAGAGAAGCTACGAAGGAGCCATAATGACTGCAATGTCGAAGGTCGTAGAAGAACATTCCGGATACAGCGCCGCCATCATCCAGACGCCGGCACTGCATCCCGGAATGTTCTCGGCCCTGATGCCTTGGCTTTCGGGCCGAGACATCAAGGACAGAATGGTCAAATACTCGAGGACCGCTCACTTATTCGCATTGGTGAGAGATCGAGGTTCGGGATTCGTTGCTTCGCCGGATCACGTAGGCTACAAAATGGACGGTGCGGATCGAGAGAATCTGAGAAAAGGGATCGAGAGGGTTCTGAGGGTACTGGCGGCGGCGGGGGCGGAGGAAATCGGGACCCACCATAGAAACGGGCGGGTTCTGAAGGTGAAGGAGGCGGGCGAGGAGGAGTTGGAGAGGTTTGTGGTGGAGGAGAGTTCGAGGGTGTTGGAGGAGAATCTGTCGTGGCCGATAAGCTCGGCTCATCAGATGGGGAGTTGCCGGATGGGGGTGGGGCCGAGGGGGTCGGCGGTGGGGCCCACGGGGGAGAGTTGGGAGGTCGGGGCCCTGTTCGTGGCGGATGCGAGTGTCTTTCCGACGGCGTTGGGGGTGAATCCGATGGTGACTGTTCAGGCGATTGCTTATTGTGTTGCACAATGTGTTGTTCAAAGTCTTGGTGGGAAAAAGTTGGTTTAATTAGTTATCTGAAGTAATTAAGCTATTATATTATGAAGGGTGTTTATGTCATTTGGTGTACTTTTGCTAAATAATGAAAAAAATAACTTTTCTCAAAGTTGGATAAATATAATAATTAGGAGCGAAAATAACTTTCGAAAAAATTGTTAAACTTTTTTAGAAGTGAAATATTAATATCAATTTAGATATTAAAGAAGATCGAAAAAAACGAAAAATAGAATTAAAAAAACTTGTTCCCAATCGGTATTCTTTTCGGAGCTGAATTGTTGAAAATCGGAATTTCAATTTTGTTATTCAACTATACTAGAAAAATGCATAATAATATTGATATAATCATTGTAATTTTTTTGTATATATTCCAATTCTAATTCAAAAAAAAAATCGAATATTTTGAAATTATGGTTTAAAATATTTTGTTCCAAAATCGAAAAAATTGGATGGGTTAAAATAGAAAATTTTGTTCCGATTTCCACCACCAGATAAAACCACCCTTTTTGTTTGTATTTTAAAACCATAGTTGACTTGACCACCCACCACCACCACCACCACCACCACCACCACACCTCCACCAGTTGCCACCATGGAAGTGCTTGAGTTGACCACCACCTTAACATATCAAATGTCTGATATTCAATCAAACAATAATTCAGATTCTTCTTGTCCTTTTTTTTTAAAATAAATGAAAACACTTGTCAATAAACAGTCAATCCAAGAAAGCAAAAAAGCCTCCAAATTCTTCTTCACTTTGACTAAATCCCAAGCCTCCTTTCCTTTTGTCCATTCTCAATACCTTCATCCATTTCTTTATTCATCCAATCACAAGAAAAACACACACACACACATATATATATATATATATATATATATATGGAAAAGTTGAACAAATACAGTTTTGCTATCTTCTTCTCAATCATCATCGCCTCTTCCCTCGTCTCCTTCGCCTTGTGCCTCGTCGCCGAATTCAAGAAATCTAAGGTCAGTTTCTTCTCTCTCTAAAAAACTTTCCTCTCTCCAAAAACTTGTTATACAATACTGAATCTCTCTCTTTCTCTCTCTAGAAAAATGATCTGAGATTGGATGGGAAGTGGTGTTATTTGCCCAGAAGCGCCGCCTTCGAACTGGGGATCGCCGCCTTGATCTGCCTTTCGATCACTCAAGTCGTCGGAAGTTTATTCATCTGCAGGAAATTCCGGTCTACGGATTCCCAGTCCAGAAGCTGTAAAGTCAGAAAGCCTACAGTTCCATGCAGTTTGCTCGTTTTTTCTTGGTTAGTATTTTCTTAATCAAATCAAATCAAAATAATTCTTTCAACACCAAAACATTGGATTAATCAAAAAAAAAATTAAAAAAAAAATAAAAAAAATATATTTTTTTCTTCAAGAAAATCCCAAAGCAGCTCCAACAACCCCCTCTCACCTAACATCAAATCAACCTGTCTGGTTATGTTACCTTTGACACTGCTGTTAGTTATTATCTTACACCAACTTCCTCGAACTTTCTAACGTGGACAGCTATATAATACAATATATATATATATATATATATATATATATATATATATATATATATATATATATATATATATATATATATAGATATATATGTATGTATATATATTGATTAAAATATAGTACTAAACATGTGCAATAGTACTGCAATGTTACAGGGTCAGCTTTGGGATTGCAGTTATTATAATCAGTACAGGCACAAGCATGAGCCAAAGTCAACCGTTTGGTCAAGGATGGCTCGATGGTGAGTGCTACTTAGTTAGAGACGGAGTCTACATCGGCTCGGCTATACTAGCCATGCTGGCTAACGGCTCAAGCCTCGGCTCGGCCATCGTAACAATAAGGCGAAAGAGAGCTGAAGAGAACAGAAAAGTTCATCATGCACAAGCCGAAACCTGACAAGATATATATATAGTATATACGAACCAAATACAGCCTCGCGGAAATACACACATCAAACGGAGACAAAGTAACAAATTATTAGGAAACAGGACACGAGATCGGTGCAACTTTTTTTTGTAGTAAATTTTTGTAACTATATGTATAATCGGAATGAAACGGCTGTTCAAAACATATAATCAGCCAAATAAAGTGGTATTTTCGTAGACAAGACAAGAGGCAGGTTCAAGAACCAAAAAAAATATATGAACCCTGCCGTAACTAATAATAATCCTGTTATTCTTCACCCGAAGAGTTCAGCGTTGAGAATAAATAAGCTTACAGTAAAATAGAAAGATGGTTTTGTGACGAGTTTAACAGCAGCAACTGCATATGCCTTTTGAAATCATGAATTGTTGCCATGTCATCTCTGCAAGTAGGGCCCACGGCCTCTATTGCCGTAGTTATAATAACCCCTTCCCCAATTGTGCGGGCCACGATGCTCACCTCGTCCACCTCTATGTTCACCATAACCAAACGGAGGTCTCCTTTGATAATTACCGAATGTCTGAAGTAGACATGAAAGAAAGCGATATGTTATAATTAGTATTCAATATTTCAATAAACAAGTGTTGCAGACCAAAAGAAAAAACAAAAAGGTTTTCCCACGACGAACCTCGGAGTTCAATTTCACTCTCTCGGGTAATTGATTCTGTCCATTCCTAGCTCCATGGCCGATTGTTTGACAAGAAATGTTGTCGAAGAAGTCGTCTTTGTTATACGCAGGCTGCACGGAGAAGAGAATATTATAGCAAAAGCCACTAGTGCATTGCATGCTCTATTTTCTAATAAATCTGCAAGATGCATACTTTACATATAACTAATTGCTCCTCACAAGATACAAATAAACATTATTTCTCTTGTCAGATTCTTTTGCCAAAACATCTTTCCCCAAAATGAAATGGAAATACAGCTCCGAAAGGGGGTTAAACATAGCCATAGAGTTTACCAGTTTCCAAAAATAAAAAAAATATAAAAATGAAATAAAAAAAAAAACCTTGGAATCAGTCTTGGATATCCTGTCAGGGTTATCACCCCACGACTTATGGTTACTTGTTCCATTTTGCTGTATCCCCTCTACTTCATCTGTCTGGTTTGCTTTTCCAAGATACCCCCAAACCTCATCTTTATTAAACTTCTCGTTCATTGCTTGGAAATCAAATTCTTCAGTAAACTGGAACGAGTCATGCAGCTGCAAAGTTTCAAAAAGGAAAAAAATGTTACAAGATGTAACAAGCATATAACAAGCAAAACCTTTTCTAATAAACTAAAAAGTTCAAAACAATTTAAATATAGAAGAATTACGACATAAGGATAATACATGTGCTTTGGATGGCAGGATGTATTTGAAGTTTGAACGTTCCAGTAAGTGAAGTAGAAAATGGGGTTTTAATTAAAAGTTGTTGGTGATTTTAGCTAAAGCTGTTGAAATTCCTTCAAAATAGGTTTTTTTTAATGGCCTTACAATACACACCTGGGATCGAACCCAATACTTCCACACCACAAAAATGGGAGTGGTGCCACTGAAACACAAAGTTGGTGGTAATTCCTTCAAAATTGGTTGATGATTCAGGGAGTCGTAGTAGTTTACCAAAATTGCTCCAAATTAGACCTACATAGTTTAAATGGGGTCTTTTAGTAAAGATGGAATTTCTATTTCACAATCCTGTTTCTTGCCTTACACTGATAATTCTAATTTTTTTTTATTTAGCCCCAAATAAAAGATGATTGGATTTGATGTCTTGGGATTCTTGACAAACGTCTAAATCACAAATCACATAAAGAATTGGTCCAGAACAAAGTACAGAGGTGAACAGCCAATCCATTAAAAAAAAAAAGAGCAAAACAAGCAATTCTTCATCAAAAACTTTATCTAACAAACGAGAAGAGGATAATATATATATATATATATATATATATATATATATATATAATGAAATAAATCAAATTACTGAGTTTACCTTCCGTGAGGGTGGTGGCAGTGGCAAAAGTGGTGGTTGAGAAGCAGTAGCAGCTGAGGATGCAAAATTAGGAGCAACCGAACTTGTAACACCCATATCCTTCTGATCAGGGTACAACATTTTTCCTAGGAAATGTTCAGTGGGCTCCGTTATTGGATCTGAAACAGATGATGTGAAATACGTTGAGGACTGAACAGATTGTGATGATACTGGGTCAGGAACCACTTTATTAACAACTTGAGCTTCAATGCTGCTTGCGTTCTGATAGGTTAATGCAAAAGGCATGGTCAATCCATTAGAATTTACCAATGTAGATTGATGAAAAGGCAGAGATGACTTTGAAGAAAGTGGACCAGTAAAGGACATAGACGGTGGCTCGAAAGAAAGAGTTTGTGTAGCTGTTAAACTGGTGGAATTAGAAGTTGCAAATGAATGCCCGGAAGAAACATTATCAGATAAATTTCTATCTGCCATGGCTGCCGATGCCTGATTCTGCAAGGGATGAGCAGCATTAGTTCCCAGTGCTCCACTATATTCCTGCCATTGTGCTGGCATGACATAAGATGACGCAGCAGTAGGCAACTGAGAAGAACCCCATATTCCCGACTCAGTTCCAGAATGATGTGGAGGCATTGTAATCTGGTTGGTTCTTGCAGTTGATGCAGGGGGTTCACCGTAAAAGTTGAATTCTGTTGAAGAGCCATTGGTAGCTGAAACTGATTCTGATAAACTTGTGGGGGGCATAAAACAGTTTGACTATACATAAGCAAAAAGTATGTCGAATTTAGTATATGACCAAACGATTGTATTCAAGAACACACTGGGGTTATGACCGACTAGCAAAAATGTTAAACCACCTGAATAATTGCAGGATCATTGTATAATGGTTCCTCTGTTTGAACTGGTGCAGTTTTAACTTGTAAATCCTGACATGAAGCACATGAATTGGAAAACAAGTTAAAATATCGAAGATTTAACACTAGTTAAAATGTTAAAGTGTTGATTACAGAAATAGTTATACAACGTGCAAAATTTTCCTATCACATCATCCATCAGAGAATACTGTTGTTGCAATGAACCCATTTTCCTACATTGGGAAGGGATGATAGTTTAACATTAGAAGAGAGGAGATTTCAACATTTATACATTCCACGCAACAATTCTCTTTCTAAAGAAACCAATTCAAGGATACTAAAATAATTTTATATTTTTTGGTCCAGATGATATAATTAAAGAGTTGGAGATATAAATATTAAATGATTAACCTCACTAACAGTTTAATCTTTTAGATGAGGTGATCATTAAACATCACATCAGAGTCGCGCCAAATGAAAGGTCATGTGTTCAAATCCTAAACTAACAATATAAATAGGGTAGAGCCAACAGTCGACTCATAACAGAGGACAGAGAGTTGTAGTTATAGTTCAAGATAAATAAAAAGGGTAGAGCCAAAAGTCAACTCATAACAGAAAGACAGAGATTGGATGCCGGGAACAGGCTACAGCGCAAGATCGTCACGTTGAAGTGTAACAATTAAATAAGCAATAGATAAGCATGTTAGTAGCTAATAAAATAGACTAGCAGAGAAACCTAAGCAAATATAATACAGTGTATCACAGAGCTATTTTGATTCAGTCGAGCAAAAATTACTTTAATGTCACTGCCACGAAACAGAATGTATTCGTAGATTGTGTCGCGTGGAGGAACTTGTTGCCCATTTTTCTTTCTCCCCTCCGTTCCATATGATCTCACTGCAATAATGGTCGAATGAATTCAGTCAATAAAAACATATTAACATATTGCCATTAAAATAAGAACCAACCAGCATTCTTTCATATTACGAAACAAAAGACAACAGTTAAAACTTGCAATTGAAACAGAACCAGCATTAGTATACAGCATCACTAAAACGCGATGAACTGTTTATTCGGACAATGCCACTTCGCTGCAAGCAAAATTTTTGTACACTTAAGAAAGTGAAATTTCCACAGACGTGTTCATATATAAAGCAACGAACCCAAGTAATCGTAACTCAGCACAAAAACCCGTGATTCCACACAACGAACATGCAAAACATGCGTATCGAACATATAATGTGGAAAATGGCGAGGAGAGAGAGAGACTCACCGTCTTTGAGGCCAAATGTGGAGTCATCGGGATTGAGGAAGTAAAGTATCCCCTCGTAACGAATCTCACACTTGGATGTAACGCTGATGAAACTTCCGATGTACGAATCCGCCGCCGCCGCCGACGATGAAGATGGCGACGCCGTATTGTTGCTTCCACTATAAGGTTGCGCCATTAACGGGTATGCGTCTGCATCTGAAGATGCAAAAAAATACCTTGATTGAAATTGGAAAACGCAAAACTTTGAAGATTTGATTCGATTTTTTTCGTTAGGGTTTCGTTGTGTGTGTGAACGGGAATCGGAGTTTTAGGCGGTATGCAATTTCGATGGTTACATAATTTGGGGGGAAATACCGAAATAGTCAAAAAAAAAAAAAAAAAACTTTTATTTTACCTAAATAATTAATTTTCTGAAAAAGTTTAATATTTTGCACATATGCCAATATTAAGTTATTAATAGTTTTCAAAAAAAAAAGTTATTAACACTTCTACATATGTACACATATGCACATATATATATATATATATATATATGGGGTAATCACAAAAAAGCCCGTGACAAGGGCACTTAATTAAAAGAGGGACATCCAATTTTTTTGTCTTTCAAATAAATCCAGCCCATTCAAACTTATTTGCAAATAAGAAAAATCTTTTTATATATACCAAAATTACTCTCAATTCATTGAAACCCAATTCAACTATAATTTCATGATTTACACCCCAATTTAGCCCAATTTCATCAATTAACCAATTTTAACCCTAATTTCAATTTTGACCCCAATTTTAACCCTAATTCTTATAATTCCACCCATTATGCTCTAACTTCTTTAATATTACACATTGACCCCGGATTTAAACAAATATATCACATTAACCCCCAAAACTTTTTTTTTTCAGAAAATAAATTTTTTTTCTGAAATATTTTTTTTCCGGCCAGATTCCGGCGTTGACTTTTTTTTTTTTTAAATAATTTTGTTTTTTCTTAAAAAAAATATTTTAATTAATTTTACTGTCTTGGCTGCTAAATTACTGTCTCCGGCAGCTATTTAACTGTCGGAGACAGTAATTTAACTGTTAATTAACTGTTTTTTTTTTCTTCAAAAATATTTTAATTAATATTACTGTATTCGTTGCTAAATTACTGTCTCCAGCAGTTATTTAACTGTCGGAGACAGTAATTTAACTGTTAATTGACTTTTTTATTCTTAAAAAAAATATTTTTAATTAATATTATTGTATTCGTTGATAAATTACTGTCTCCAGCAGTTATTTAACTGTCGGAGACAGTAATTTAACTGTTAATTGACTTTTTTATTCTTAAAAAAAAAAATTTTAATTAATATTATTGTATTCGTTGCTAAATTACTGTCTCCATCAGTTATTTAACTGTTGGAGACAGTAATTTAACTGTTAATTGACTTTTTTATTCTTAAAAAAAATATTTTTAATTAATATTACTGTATTCGTTGCTAAATTACTGTCTCCAGCAGTTATTTAACTGTCGGAGACAGTAATTTAACTGTTAATTGACTTTTTTTTTTTTTCTTACAAAAAAATTTATTATAATTAATATTACTGTCTTGGATGTTAAATTACTGTCTCCAACAGTAATTTAATTGTCTTAGACAATAATATTATTAATATTACTGTTCGGAAAAATAATATTCATAATATTACTGTCCCAAACAGTAATATTACTGTCTGAGACAGTAATTTAGTAGTCAAGACAGTAATATTAATTAAAATATTTTTTTTCTAAGAAAAAACAATTCCCAAAAAAAAAAAAAAAAAAAAAAAAGTCAACGCCGGAGACCGACGGTCAACGGTGGTTGACCGGCCGGAAAAAAAATTCAGGAAAAAAAAAATTTCAAAAAAAAAAAAAAGTCAAGGCCGGAATCTGGCCGGAAAAAAAACATTTCAGAAAAAAAATTATTTTTTGAAAAAAAAAAGTGTTGGGGGTTAATGTGATATATTTGTTTAAATCCGGGGTCAATGTGTAATATTAAGGAAGTTAGAGCATAATGGGTGGAATTGTTAAGAATTATATTATTGAGGGTATTTTAGACTAAAGACATGGGGATGGGCTTAATTGAGAGACTGTTTTTTTTTTGACTAAAATGCATTTAAGTCCCATGTGATGGGCTTTTTTGCCATTGCCC